ATTCTTCTACAGAAGTTTTCTTGCCCAAAATCTTTTAGGACAGAGTCTTGGACTATCTATTAAATACGATTAAGTTCATGCAAGATGCTCGGCAGAAACTTGAGACAACTTTCAAAATGTAGTCAAGACGTGTATTCAAGGTTTCCCCCTTGATGGTGCATATAGTTATATATAGAAGCCCATCTACGGATATAATAAGAATTTTGTTTGTCTTTAAAGAAGTCTACACAGAAACCTTGATATTTTTCACAGATAGATAATCTACATCAGCAGCAAAATAGCGAAAACTTTAAAGGAATCTGCAGATATGTTTTCCTAAACTTTTAACAGAATTATGTTCCTTTTAGGTGTAGGTAAAACGTTCTTGCTGAAATTTTATTCGTCGTTATTGAATGCAAAACTACTGTATGATCGAAATCTTGATATTATTAGTCCACGAATAGTAGAACGTACGAGTATATGGCTTCGCTATAATATTCTTACCAGATTAATTGAACCGAAACGACCCTTATTACAAGAGTTTCTAGTAAAAATGAAAGTAATTTTCGATAATGAAGAAGAAGAAGAAGAACAGAGCGACGACGGCGATAGTGGTAATAGTCATGACAGCAATGGTTGTAATATGGAGGATTTCTTTGAAATTTCGTTACATCCAGAATTGGCTGCCGTTCAGCCAGCCGCAGCACTTATCGCACCTCAACGAATCGATCGATATTCTATTGTTTGATAAAATACAAACATCGTTAAAAAGCTGTTCATATTCAATTGAAATATTGAAACAACTTTGGAAAGCAATAATGACTGTGACTGATGCGTATGATGCGACTATTGCCCAAAAGCTTATACATGAATTACACGAGTATGTAACATCGCAGCTGACAACAGTTCATCTATTGAAACCAACTAAGCGCTTGCAGCGGCTGTTGAATGAAGCACAATCGCTATTAATTGCAACAAAATTATTCAATGAATATATAACGTACACACAGACGAAACAATTGTTCCATCGTCTTCTATTGCCTCCTGGTATAACCGAAGAACAGCTGGTACAATTCATGTTACCAATTCGAACATTAGCCCAGCATTTGCCTGATATTGAACTAGTCGTATTTTTTGATGAGTTCAGTACATCATCGTGTTTAGGGTTATTTCATGAAATGTTCATAGATCGGACGATTCATGGACAACCACTAGCAGATAAAATCTTTTTTACAGCCGCAATTAATCCATACATAAGTGTAGCGAATGCCAACAGCAACAATAAGAATAATGACGATTCAATTGCACACCGTCTAGATTACTTAGTTCATCAATTATCTCAATCACTGGAACACCTAAAATGCCGTTATGGTACTCTATCCAATAGTCAATTGCATGATCATATCAAACAAAAAATCCAGATGTTTCAGAAAAACGAAAATAAACAACAGCAGATGCCGTTGGACAGCTATGTTCAAGAAACTGTTTGTGATGCTATATTAAATGCACAAGACGTTTAGGTACGTTTAGCTCAAGTAATACGAAAAATTCACCTAAACAACTTTTGTCGAGCTAATGACCGAGTGCACAAGTATAAACGAAGCTTTCTTTCTCAGATCAGCTTTAGCAGACAACTTCAAATGCTTTTTTCACGCTGATGACGAGTATTAGCCTTGAGAGAAACAAGAATAGATTTTAACGTAATAATTAAAATAAAAGTATATTAAACGTTTTAAGGTCCTCCCGTCCCTCTAGGCCCGAAATATAGATTTTTCCATAAAAGATTTATATTAAGTTAATCACATGAGTGAAGAGCCTCAGGTGCCTACTCTCATAATCTTTTTTGTATCGATATCGAATGTTGCTGGGGAATTTTGAACGATCTAAGACGATGCTTTGATCAAAAGTTATGATAGTTTTAGTAACAGCC